CTTCAACTGATAGGGTGGGGCTTCGCAACCAGCAATAATAGATTCGAGGATTCAACAGCCAAAATGTAGATGATGTATAGATTCTGGCGAGTTCAACAAACCCATACAGGTCGGTGTTCGGGCGTTGCAAGCCCCCAAGAAAATCTTAAAATTTGACCAATTGCAGAGGAATTTTGAGACCCTATGAAATCGGTATTAGAGAATATTTTAAGGCAAAAAATCCATTGGCGTATGACTCGATCACTAAAATGGATTTTTTTAATAACAAACGCTAAAAAAAAAAACCAAAAAAAACATCGATTTTGTTGATTAAAAAAAAGTTGCTTCAAGAGACCCTCTGGGACCAGGGATCGTGAAGTGTAAGCTTCATTAGGGCCATAGTAGTTCCGTCACTGCTAATATGATTTGGAAAGAAAACAGAGCTAAACTCAAGTGTAAATTCGGTGCTACTTTGGCTTATTATCTACAACGAAAAAATATCTACATTGTATAAATTTTAGTTTGGACTGCTATCAACATGGTTAAACATATTATAACAAAGAAAATCTAATTAAAATTTTTAAAAAAATCTTTTATTTATATTCTAGCGATGAACAGCAGATATATCGTCTAAAATGTCTACATCGTACAAATTTTATTTTCGAATGATATCTACATAGTTAAGCACATAACATAAAGAAAATGTAATGAAAATATTAAAAAAAATAATTCTATTAATAATATTTTAGCTATAAACAGCACGTACATCGGCTAAAAATGCTAAATACAAGTCAGGAGTTTCTTTTCACGTCATCCGCCAACAGAAGTAGTGTGGGTACGATTCATGACACGTAGATTGCAATATAACGTGTAGATCGCATAGCAAAGTAGATTAATGACACGTAGATCGCAATATAACATGTAGATGGCGTCCAAAATAGATTCGTGACGCGTAGATTGCAATATAAAGATCGCATACCAAAGTAGATATATGACACGTAGATAACAAGTACAATTATGACGTTTGTCTGATACAAACGCAGACTAATGAGGAAACAACCTCATTACTAATGAGATAAATTTGATAATTATCACTTTGATGAAGATTCGAAGATATTTATTATAATTTCTAAAGTTTGGCACAAGGCTCTAATGAGGCTTTCAGTGAGAAGTAAACAATTGTCTTCAAGACAACCTTGCTAGTCTTCACTTTTTGTTCCAGCAAGTGCTAATATTTCTATGATGCGGTGTTGAAAAATTCTCAGCCTTACCCATTTTCCAAAAATCATTAGAAATCCTTTTGGGAAGCCTTCGTATTCGGACCGGGAACTTTTCAAAACACATCAAAGTTTTTTTGTTTTTCTTTCTTTTGTTTTTTTTTTTGTTGTTTTTTTCATTTCACACCAAGCAAAACAATAAAAGCTACTAGGATACAAGGGTTTACTGAATGGAAAAGAAACAGAGCAAACTTTGACCTTTGTGCCGAAAAAAAAAAATTGACATCGCTATTTTAACCCCTCTACGGCAATGCTTACTGTTTTAAAAAGCTAAAAATAAAATTTTATTATTACCTAAACATATGACCAATGTGAATTTATACATTTTACAACAAACCAACTATTATTATTTTACATTTAAACACTATTAGATCGTTTATTTACAAGAATAATTTTATTTTTATATTCTAAAATTCTAATGCAATTAGAACTAATGCAATGGAGTATTTATCATTTCCCAATTTATAAAGAAATAAATATGAAAAATATTTATTTATAAAGATAAACTAAATTATTAAAATATGTGGACTAACTATAAGGAAATCCTTATTATGAAGTTCGAATCGATTGACAATTAGTGGGTGATTTGCCAACCATTCCAATAAACAATCTAATAAATAAATAGTGTTTATTATTTTTATTGCTAATTCTTAAGATCAAAGAAAATGTATTGCCAAGGAGTGAAGGTAGTTAAAATAATAGCGGAGTCAAGGGGAAAACCGTCTTTCTTAAACTACTTTTTTTCTTTTTTTTTCTTTTTTTACGGACACGAAGGTCCAAGTTTGCTGAAACAGAGCGTACAAGGATTCAAGGAGACAAAAGATGACGATTGACATTGCATTTAAATTTTTGAAGATCGTGGTTGACAGGAAAGTAGGAAGCCTAGATAGCGTTCGACAATCGAGAAGTGTGATAAAAGAAACCGTTAGTATGTTTACTAGTAGCAATTTCAGCAGTGAAATTACGAGACCTAACCTCCACTCTAGTACTGCGCTTAAATTCGTAAAGTCGAGTTACCAACGAGGAACACTCGTCAGAACAATTATCGTGAAGATATTTTATAGAAGGGGTAAAGGGAAGCTACGCTACGTCGGTGGGAAGATGACTGAAGCCGAGATGCCAGGTCAGGACAGATAACGTTCTTTGGATTTTATCAAGAATTCTAGATATGAAACAGAAGCAACCAGACCAGATGTGGCAACAATGTTTGATGCAGGGACGCATAGTAGATTTATAACTCTCCAAGACAGATTCTTATTTACGCTAATTACATGCGGACTATTGTCCTCGTCTTTGTTGTTGTTATAACAACGTTCCAGTCGTTGTAACCCTCGTTTAAATAGCGTAAACACGAATCATTTATATAGGTTTATTTATATAATATATCCATATCTATATAGATTTATATAGGTTTATATAGGTTTATTTATATAATATATATATATTTATATAGGTTTATATATGTTATGGTCCGGTTCCTTGTAGCACGGTGATAGTCCAAGGTAGAACCAATAAAGAAGAACTCGAACACAGGTATGGAATCATACAGATATATTACAAACAGGAATATATACAGAGAGAAGTAGAAGTGTTAGTATGAACAATCAGGTTTATTAGAGAGAACAATGTAGTCTCGACCAGTATCACTATTCCAATGTCTTGCAGTAATTGTCTGAACGCGACTCTGTTACGGACTGCCTCTGACTCGACTCTTGACTCGACTTGAACTACTGACTCGACTTGAACTACTGACTCCTTGCCTACTCCTGAGGCGCAGTATTTATTAAGTATGAAATAGTCCATTATTATTATTATGGGTAAGATCCCATAACAATTTATATAATATATATATATTTATATAGGTTTATATAGGTTTATATAACCTATATAAACCTATGTTTATATAGGCTAAACATATAACATTTTGGTTATATCTTTAAGCAAAATATATATTATGGTTAAACATATTATAACAAAAAAAATTAACCCTATTTTGTTATTATATGTTTAACCATAATATATATTTTATATATATATATATATATATATATATATATATATATATATATATATATATATATATATATATATAAATGATATATATATATATATATATATATATATATATATATATATTTATATATAAATGATATATACTCATTTTATACCTATAAATGATAGATTCACACCTATCATTTATATTTATAGGTGTAAATATAAATGACATTTATATTTTCACCTATAAATGTCATTCACATTTATAGGTGTAACTATTTGTCCGTGTATCAAACATTGCCCTCACATCTGGTCTGGTGTTGCTCTTTCATATCTAGAATTCTCGACAAAATTCAAAGAAGAATCAGCTACGTTATCGATCCTGACCTGGCATCTCGGATTCAGTCACATTCCCAATAGAGATGAAGACAATAGAACATATGGTGGTTTTCTAAGCGTAGCTTGGATGTGGCACAAGGTCGAAAGCATGGGGCGCCAAGTGAGGCTCGCACTCAGTGTTCAGTCATCATTGATCTAGCGAGAAAAGGTTATTAACCGTGGCAACAGGTGGAAGTGTCCACAATGGACCGCATGTAAATAATGATAACCCCCCACCCCCATCCCAGAAATTCAGCGTGGCTTCTCTCTGTCTAAGTATATAAGTATTTTCTATAAGTATTTTCACGGTAACTGTTCCGGCAAGTTGCTTTCACTGGTTCCCAAACTGCATGAATTTAAGCGTGCTACTAGGTTGGCATCTCGGCCCTACCATTTCACAGTCGAAACGGTTAAATGTAACCGTTTCTTCTACTCAAACAATTTCTTCTCTCTCACTTCCCGTCTGCGAAATTCACCTCCTCTTACTTGCTTCCCTGATAACTATAATCTTCAAATATTCAAGTGTAATGTCAATTGACATCTTCTGAGACCTTGACCTTGTTCTTCGTCTTTCTATTTATACTCTCCCCCAAACACGCCTCTTTACTTTAGTTCTCTACCCTCTAGTGGCACTCCCGCCTTGCTTGGAGTAAAATGCTTAAAAAAAAAGTATAGATTCTGCCAAAAGAAAATGTCTAGCACAGTATAGTGAACCGACTTTTCTAGAAGCAGACTGAGCAAGTAAATCAATGGAATCATTCCATTTCATATCAGTGGAAAACAAGAGGGTCACGCCGCCTGCTCTCTTACACATTCATATTTCTTTTATGTATACAAGATTAAATATTTTGTTGATTGTCAACGAATCATTTTTTTGTTGTCATATTTATAAAGCAACCTTTATTCTTTGTGAAGACAGATTTATCTTTGTTCGAGAAAACAAAAACGCGATAGAGGTGCGATCAAAGGTACCTTCTTGTCTACAGCTGATATCATATTAAAGATAACTGGCTTGCTTAAAAAGAAAATAAGAATATTCTTTTGACAACGAATCCTATTATAATTATGCTTGTTCCTCCCTTCTTTCCGAGCGGGAGGTGATGGCGGCTACGATAAAGCACCATTTTTCAGATGCACACTATCGAACGACGGAAGAAGCCAAGTAAAGCAATCGCCAAAAATACAAAAGCTGCTATGAATAAAATAACATCGTCTGCTGAATTATTTTAAAATTATTAACAGAAATTCTCGTAAGACGGGGATTTGGCTAGAAAGAAAGTAGGGAAAATAGAATTGTTTAACTTCCTTTGTCAAACCTTTATAAATAATGGACTATTCCGTTTTGATTGCGTAGAAAAACGAAAGGCATACACTACTTGTTTTCAGTGATAAAATGAAAGAAAGAAAGAAAGAAAGAAAGAAAGAAAGAAAGAAAGAAAGAAAGAAAGAAAGAAAGAAAGAAAGAAAGAAGAGGATATAGAATTGTTTAACTTCCTTTGTCAACACTTTATAAATAATGGACTATTCCGTTTTGATTGCGTAGAAAAACGAAAGACATACACTACTTGTTTTCAGTGATAAAATGAATGAAAGAAAGAAAGAAAGAAAGAAAGAAAGAAAGAAAGAAAGAAAGAAAGAAAGAAAGAAAGAAAGAAAGAAAGAAAGAAAGAAAGAAGAGGATATAGAATTGTTTAACTTCCTTTGTCAACACTTTATAAATAATGGACTATTCCTTTTTGATTGCGTAGAAAAACGAAAGACATACACTACTTGTTTCCAGTGATAAAATGAAAGAAAGGAAGAAAGAAAGAAAAAAAGAAAGAAAAAAGAAAGAAAGAAAGAAAGAAGAAAAGGAGGAGATAGAAGGAACCTTATAAATAATGGACTATTCCTTTTTGAAGAAAGAAGTGGAAAGGAAGGAAGGAAGGAAGGAAGGAAGGAAGGAAGGAAGGAAGGAAGGAAGGAAGGAAGGAAGGAAGGAAGGAAGAAGAGGAGATAGAATTGTTTAACTTCCTTTGTCAATACCTTATAAATTATGGACTATTCCTTTTTGATCGCGTGGAAAGATGAGGAAAGATGCTACTTGATTTCCGTGAGAAAATGAATGAAATAAAGAAAGAATAAAAGATAAAAGTTTTTGACGGATGTTTCATTGAAATGAAAAAGTTGTCAATTTAAAAATTGTTTCATTTGTACCCCCTTACGACCAGCATTCATATTTATGATTATTATTGCAATATTTTGTTGAAGTTGCTAAGCTCAAATATTTAAAAAAAAATGTGATAGGGGAATTTCTACGGAAATTTTATTGTCATAGAACTCGCCTTGAGTTTATTCAATCGTTAACTTAAGAATTAAGATCCATCAGAAAATTCTAGTAGGAAAAGTGTGAAATTTTCACGGGTTTTTCTAGTAAAAGAATTAATTTCCTAAGAATTTTTTTCATTGCTTCTTGACAAATGAATTTAACACTTTCATTTTTAGTCATTCCACTCCAAGCAAGGCAGTAAAGCCACTAAGACACTAGGGGGGCTGAGTGTGAAAGAATAAGAAAAAAAATCATTATTACGGAGCTATAATAAAATAAGGGAAATCAAGAAGACACTAGATAACGATTGAAATTGGATTTAAATTTTTCAAGATTAAAGTTAACTGGAAAGCATGGAGCCGGAAGAAATTTCCACAAGCGAGAAGTACGAGAAAAGCAGCTGTTAGCATAGAACTTAGGGCGGACATCCAGCCAATTCAACTGTGAATTGATAAGACTGCTTACATTGTTTACCCAAGGACTTTTGTTGCTGTTATCATAACGTTTCTGCCATTAGCCCTACGGCCTTCATCAGGTGATTGTCGCTACAGGTTAACTTTGATGGAATTTCAAATTGAACGCTTTACTTAATCTATAGGGTTAGAATTTTTCTAGTTCTGCGCGCCACATGTAGGGATATCTAGTGTTGTTCTTTTTAGTAATGTTCACCCTGCTTCCATCTATATATACAAAACAGAGAATGTCTGTGTGTCCGTCTGTCTGATACCTTTTCACTCGAGATCCATCCAACCGATTTTTACCAAAAACTTGGTGTATACATTGTACAATGTAAGAGATAGGTTCTTTGCGTAAAAATCGATAATTTTTAAAACAAATCAATAATCGATAAAAGCCAATCAAAAATCGGTAAATTCAACTTTTCTCTTTCGATTTCTTTCAAACTCGGCATGTAGGTTACTTACATCATGACGAGCTCAACTATACCTCATTTTTATTTCTATGTCAGTGCGTTTAGCGAAAAACCGCCAAAAACGAAAAATCAATTTCAGCACAAATCGACTTCAACGCAAATTTAAACCTAAAAACTCCCTCAATTTTCAAGCAATCTAATACAAACTTCACTCACTTGTAGCAAACAATAAGTTGATTGTTTAATCAATTGTTTAAATAGCGAAAAATGGCGATTTTTACTGCTGTCTTTCTTAATTTTCGTTAATCTTTCAACCAATTTTCATCAAACTCAACAATTGCTTTATACATGTATCTCTTTTACATCACTGGTACCACACTGATAAATTGAATTTCAAAAACTCCAAAATAATTGTGGTCTGAAGTGGGTCTTCATGTTGCCTGTTTTGCTCCTTCATGTCCTCGGTTAACTTCGATTGAATAAATAGACTGCTTCTGCTATATCAGTAACTGCATTAATTCAAAATGTTTTTAATGAAAGCCTTTTAAGTAATTGAAGATAGATTCTGTTACATCTAAATATGATGCTTTTTTTGCTCCATTCTAATTGAATGATTTTTCTGATCGACCAGCTGGCTATGGCTGCATTATCTGCTCTATCCGACCCAGGGATTGAGCTCAGTTACTATGTCACAAAATTCACAAAGCAACATTTTAATTTTTCTCGTGGGACAATCCTGATTGTAAAACTTGGAGTCTTTAACATAACCTGCCTGTTACTGACATTTCTGTTACTGCTTGTCACGTTTCAGTGTTTAAATAGCGAAAAATGGCGATTTTTACTGCTATCTTTCTTAATTTTCGTTGATCTTTCAATCAATTTTCATCAAACTTAACAATTGCTTTATAAATGTATCCTCTTTTACATCACTGGTAGCATACTTCTCTATTCTGCTGAGAGGGACGGTGATAGAATAATGGTTAGCGACTTGGATTGAGGAATCGGAGTGCCGAGTTCGAATTCCAGTTGGATCCGTTACTTTAACAGTTTTTATGTGCTTGTTTAATTTTTCTTGAAATTTGTTCACCTTACTGAATTTCATTTTTTTTTAACTATGTTAAACAGGGCTCTTTCAAAAGGTTCCAGGAGTTTGTAGGAAGAGGAAGTTTTTTGGGTCTTTAGACTGTAGGTTTCATATTTGTGATCTGGTGTTTTGGAAAGGTTGAGATAGAAATGTGCTTTCCATCGTAATCTTTTCACAAAGTCAATAATCTTATCCGTGACAGATTGAAAGAGTGCAGAGAAAGGTATGGGATATTTTCTACTGGGTATTCCGGACAGAAATTTTCCATTATGTTGCGAGGCACGGTGGAGTAATGGATATCGGCTCGGAGGGAAGAATCGGAGAGCCGCGTTCGAATTTCAGTCGAATCCATTACGTTCACTTACATGCTACTAACCTTAGGAAATGTATAAATCCTCGTCTTCTTCCCCCAGCTATGGGCAAATAGCAGGACAAACCGGGTTTTATAACCTTGTATGGTAACTGGTCAACCGCAGAAAAAATGGCTACCTACTGCGGGAAAAATCTGCTTTGTCAGTCATGTATTAAGTATAGCATAAATTATTTATTATTATGATGTAGAGGTAGTTAGAATTTCTAGATGGATTAATCCCGAGAGAGCTCAACTAATCGTTATAGGAGCAACATATTTTTTATAACTTTTATTCTTTGATACAACAATTTTTTTATTAATTAGAATTTTTTTCTAATTATAATCTCATTTAATTTTAATATGAATTATCTAAATATAACTTATTTCTAATTTATTAAATATATTTCACTTTTAAGTATAATTTATCTTTGGGAGAGTATTTTTTAAGTAGGATTTTCATATAACCCCAATTTAATGTTATAAGCTTAATATCCGGGTTTAATTTTATAAAACCTATTCCCTTTAAGGTTGATATCTTCCACCCTCCCTTGACCACCCTTGTGCTTTTCGTCTGACTGAAACATTGAACTGAATAATTTCTGTATTATTTTTTTCGACGGCTGTCACAGTTAAATTTCTAATTCCGACACGAACTCAGTCTGTATACCGGGGTTGAATAAAACTGACGAAGTTTTCGTCAGTTGAAATAGATCTATATCCCATATGAGGTAATTTTGGATTTTTTGGTTTACTACTATTTATTTGCTCTGTATAATAAATAGATTGAGCTCTTTTTGTGGATCAGTTTTAATACAGGGTGACCCAAAAAACAGGAATTTTTGACATGCGTATTGCCAGACATGAGCAAGCGGCAACACTGCGAAACAGGGACCTTGAGGAAGTAAACATTTCGCCATTTAGAATTCAAGATGAAATTCACAGTATCCCAGCTGAGATGTGGCAGCAGTCAATGAGGAATCTCAACAGTAGATTTCAAGAATGCATTCGTACAGGAGGGCGCCATCTACAGGACGTCATTTTTAAAAAATGAAAATTCCATCATTGTTTCTTAAATGGCATGTTTTAAGGTTTCAATTACTATGAATAAAATCCTCTACAGTCCACAGATTGACACACAAACACACTGAAATGTTTGTATTGGAGCTTCCAGCGCGAATGTCAAACAGTACAGCATGAAGTTTCCAATATTTCTGGGACAGTGCCCAACTGAACCTGCCATAGTGGGCAGACGACAAAATTGAAAACAAACAACGCGCATGCGCGAAATTAAAAATGTAAAATGGCGAAAATTTAAACTGTATGTAATTTTATTTCTCTTTCGTTGTCCTTAATAATGTTATTACATGTCCGAACTAGAATTACTTATTTGTTTTGTTTTTTGTTGTTCTTTCTAATCATTTCACCCCAAGCAAGCTAATAATGCCGCTAAGACGAAAGAGGTTACTGTGAATGAAAGGGAATGAGAAGACTTTAGTGAGAAGAAAGGAAAATGAAAGAATGAAAACAGAAGACAGGGTTCAAATTAGCGCTGCATTTAAATTTTTGAAGAATGTAGGTGGCAGGTAAGCAAAAAGCTAGTTCCACAGACGAGAGGTGCGAGAAAAGAAACTATTAGAATAGAACTTACAGTTACATCTAGCTCTTTCAATAGTAAAACAATGAGACCTAATTGCCAATCAAGTAGTATGCCTAAATTCATGTGGATGAGCTGCCAAGGAGGAAAGTTCATCAGAACAATTGCCATGAAATTGCCACGTCACGTTGGTGAGAAAATGACTGAAGTCGAGATGCCAAGTCAGGATTGATTATATTACAGACCTTTCTTTCAATATTTTTTATGACCTTAGTTTTTTTGCAGAAAGTTATAACTGACAATTACTTTTTTGAAACTTACACTGAGACAGTCACTATTTAGGTCATTTAGTATTTCCTGTAATTCATCGGATGTTTTTTTTACATATCGTCAGCGAATCGTAGATGACTTAAATATTCTCCATTTAAATTTAATCGTATCCCTTACCCAGTTCAGGTTTGCTTTGGTTTGTTTTGTTTTACGACATCTCAGCCTCAATGGGTTATTTAATGCCGACAAGATTTTATGGCTGGTAATCTTTTTTTCAGAAATGTACTGCTGGCAATATTTCTTTTTCAAAAATGTACTGCTGGTATTTTTTTTCAAAATGAGTATTGCTGGTACTAAACCTATTTTTATGCTTTCATAGTGTCTTGATCCCTTTTGTGGGATATTTACCCATATCTGGGACCCTGACAGGTGCTACCACCCCGGGTCAGGATGGACCTGGGAGCACCAGCAATTAAGTGGTGGTTTCATGTTTTTCAAAACTTCCTAATCAAAGGTCTTCCTGTCGGATATAGTTTATCGTCTTACCCAGGACGCGGATGTGGTTTATCGTCGTACCCAGGATGGTAGCAAAAGATATTTTCGGACCCTGCTGTAAATAGATTTCATACTCACAGGACAGCTTTTTTGTTTGTTTGTTTTGTATGTTTTTTGTTGTTTTGTTTTTTGTTTGTTTGTTTTTGTTTTTTTTGTTGTTGTTTTTTTTTTTTTTTGTTTTTTTTTTTTTTTTACAGTGAGGTTCACTCTGTACAAGGCCGGAGACCCACTCGAGGTAGAGGGTTAGAAAGTGTTGTGGATTCCAGGATGAAATCCGGTACCAATAAATAACAAACGCCAAGAATGAATATAAGAAAATAATGTATTATAAGACAAACTGGTAACGCAGGTTAGTAGTTCCAGGAATGCGGGTTAGTAGCAAAATATCTATACAGTCTTTGGTATTGAAGTATCGCTGTATGACTTCTTACTGAGTCTACGTGCTCGCTCACAGTGACTCTTGCTGGCTACGTTCGTTCTGTCTGTCTGTTACCTTACTCCCACTCTTCCGGTTACATACAAACTTTCACTCCCTCCTCCGTCCTGTCTTGCTCTGACTGTCGGATCTTTACGTAGCAGTAGTATATGTATATGCTGGGAGAGTCCATTTGTGTAAAAAGGGGGAGGACACCTCAACAGAAAGTAAGAGGCAGTTCATGCGGATATGAGGGGAGCTCTAGACTTGAACAGGTTAAAATTGTAGTAATCGGGGAAACATCCTCTTGGGAGTCGGTTCCATTGAGCAGTGGTTCGCAGGAAGAAGTTGTTCGAGTGGAACTCACTTTCCATCATTGGAATATGGAGGGAATGTGGGTGATTTGCTACAATATGAGTGGCATGGCGGGTCTTAGCCTTGAAAGTTAGAACTGGCGGCACCAAGAACTGTAGCTCATCCGAGCACTTTCCATGGAAGAAGACATAGAGTAGGGAGAGGTTTGCAACATGCTGTCTGTGGGAGAGAGAGTGAAAGGTGGAAAATAATAGCCACAAGCGCTCAAATATGCAGAATATTTGAACACTTTTTACAAACTTTATATCCAGCAAAGAAAACACTTATACGAATTCAAGAAAACTTAAATAAATCGCATTACCTTGTCAGTAATTTTAATGAAACTTCAAATATATATATATATATATATATATATATATATATGTAAATGAAACAAATACAGCAACAACATACCTAGGTTTCGTCTAAACGGATCTCCTGGGTAAGCTGGCTAAAGAGGAAATGACATGAAACATTATTTTTTGATAAAACAACTGAAAACTAATTATCATAAAACCTCGTGACTGAAGAAGATAGAGAAAAAACCCCACAGAGCCTCTATTTCAATAACCAGGGTTTCCTATGCCTACACCTATTTAAATTCTCGGATCTTTGATTTAATAAATTATTAGGCTCATCAGAGGTGGCTATTGCTAATTTTCCCCTCCATACATAAAAAGCAATGCTTGTCTCCTGCTTTATACTCCTGCATTTTTTAGTATTTCCCATTTTAAAATTGGGGTCAATACCATATATATATATATATGTGTGTGTGTGTGTGTGTGTGTATGTGTGTATGTGTTTGTGTGTATGCAAATATATAGAAAAATAGGAAAGAACCTTTATGTTAATAATCCAAAGTTCTTTAGTTTTTTTTTTTTTTTTAAAAAAAACAGTGCTCAATACATAAGTAGAACCTAAATTATAATTATTTTTTAAAAATATGGTTCCTTATATATATACATATGTGTGTGTGTGTGTGTGTGTGTGTGTGTGTGTGTGTGTGTGTGTGTGTGTGTGTGTGTGTGTGTGTGTGCGTTATTTATTTATTAATAAGTACATATACGCATCCTTATGTTTTTGGCGTGCGACTATAGTTTCGCTGGGTGGTGTTCCCAGTTCGTCAGGCACGGGGTCGGGCGAACTGGAAACACCAACCAGCGAAACTATAGTCGCACGCCAATATCAAGGTACACGGATATGTACTAATTAATACATATCTTTGCTCTGTATAACAGTATTGAGCACTATTACGTTTACACCTCATGCATAAATTTAACGATTATTTATTTGCTTGCCTGCGTACGCACACGAGCACACGCGTACACGCCCGCTTATATTTTGCCGTTTCATTTATCCACTCTACAACTATATATATATATATATATATATATATATATATATATATATATATATATATATATATATATATAGTTGTCATGATATATATATAGTTGTTCATTGCTTGAACCGGCTTCTAATGCTCCAGTCGGCTTGGTGAGAGTAGTCGTGGCTCCCGGGGGCACAGTCCTATGGTTATATAGCGAACTCAGTCGAGTTCCGCCACGGAATATGTGAGCGAGCGGCGCTAAGTTGAGTCTGATATGAATCTCTTCGGTACCGAGACCCATTTGGTACAGTTGGTATGTTGTCTGCTTGACAACCCAACTGTCAGGGTTTCGATACTCGGTGGTGGATGCGCACTGCTGATGAGTCCCAATTATAGGACGAAACGGCCGTCCAGTGCTTCCTCTATTCCTCTGGAGGTTTCTATCAGACTCAATGAATTAATTATATGAATATATATATATATATATATATATATATATATGTTATGCACTATTACAGCAGAACATGCAAATACCCACAACAAAACTGTACATCTTGTTTCAACGTTAAAAAATTAACATTTCATCAGATGGGAAATCACGATCATCTGATGTAACAGTGCATAATAAATAAATATTTATTGCTCTACTTTTGCACTGAGCCCTGTTTTAAATTAATGTTTTAAACGCTGAAATTTTATTCTTCGTTCTTTAAAATACACACGCATACACACAAACACACACACACACACACACACACACACACACACACATATATATATATATATATATATATATATATATATATATATAAGGCAGGATGTGCGTGTAACGAATGCACGGCCGCAATTTTCGACGTATTTGCTCCAAAATGTACAGGCACATGCAAGTTAGCGGGAAGGCCAAGACCGACTTTGTATTTCCCAACTCCCATCGATAGTGGAAATAATCGAATTTTCATGCTTCTACGGCAGTTTTCATGTAGTTTGCAGCCATTTTGTACTGGCCACAGTGAGAGCCAATAGCTGGCTGCCACGAATAGGCAGGAAGATTCTATTGGCCAGCGTGAGAGCCAACAGCTGACTGACACGAATGTTAACTAGCATGCTAGCATGCAAAAAATCGATAGCTGTATTCGTCACAAGTGTGAAAAATTTAAATCTGCATGGCACTTTACTCCAATTGGCTGATTCGCTTGCTTAAACTCAACGTTGATTCTGATTCCGCAGAACTGGGTTGGGTGTGAAAAAGTATTTGTTATTAACATTCTTTTTTCATTCGGTTTTTCCAGTTACGAGTCATTTTTTAAAGCTGATCGTTTTGTGTTCATTTTGTTTAGTTCTTTTTTCGTAACAGATTTTAATGTTTCGTATAGAGCTTAGAAAAAATTCACAGTGTGAGATAGGCAAGAAGTAAAGCATGTAGCAACATCAGCACGGCAAAGGGCACTCCTTTAAAGGCAAGGAAGGGCAAAAATGTTTTAAGTCAAGTGATAGCGATTGCTGTATGAGTCATACGATTTTTTGAATCAAGCACAGGCAACGCCGGGCCATGCTGCTATATATATATATATATATATATATATATATATATATATATATATATATATATATATATATATATGGTGGACTCTCCCATTGTATTCGATGTATGAGAGTTAAGCAGCTCAGTTCCTAAGAACAGACAGCCCAGACACAAGCAGATATCATTTGATTTTAATGGTGAAGGTTTTGTGCAGAACAAACCACACTTTTTGAAGTGTTGCTGGTTCTACGTGCCCCAAGGTCCCCGAACGACCCTCCACAGGTTTTGAATTCAGAGTTGTCCTACTCCTAAATCAGTTGCCATCCAAGGCTATAGAATTCTGTCTGTTCTGCTATTAAACAAGGGTAATGGATTCGGAATAATAATAAAAAAAAATTTAAATTAATAATAATATTTTGCTTTGTATTGAACATTTTTTTAAAAAAGAAATGCTACGAACTGTGGGTTTTTACTCCATTTGGTCTTTCATTTATATATGTATGTGTGTGTGTGCGCGCGTGTGTGTGTATTTATAGAGAGAGAAAAAAAGAGAAAGATAGTAAAAGAAAGAGAGAGATAGTGAAAGAAAGAGAGAGATTGAAAGAGGGGGAGCGTGAAAGAGAGTTGTTGACGGGATGTGTTTGAGGGTTTTCACTGCGGTCGTAAAGTCTTTGCCAATCCCAAGAAAGAAAAACAATTCACTTTTGTACACACTGATAAGATTTCAGCTTTTAATATGAACTGTTGACACAGAAATGAAACTGTATCATTTTCTTGTCAAGGCACATATTCCATTCTCCCAACTGAGAAAATTTAACTGTCCATTATCCAATTCTTAAGCATTGCTAAGATCCAAGTCTTACCTTCTAATAGACATGCATACAATTTCTGTGGGTCACTCTCAAACTGAAACGATGTATTCAAGTTATCCGTACATGACTATATGTCTGTATGAATGAGAAAAAAATAAAACAAAAAACAAAATGAGCGATATACATGAACAAACAGTGCAGTCTCAGGTTTTTCTAGTTTTCCTCTCATTCATTTACATATAAAATCATGTACGCGTAACTTGAATATATTACTTGTGTTTGAGAGTGACCTATACAGATAGATAGATAGATAGATAGATAGATAGATAGATAGATAGATAGATAGATAGATAGATATGAACGAGCCGTAATAGATAGATAGATAGATAGATAGATAGATAGATAGATAGATAGATAGATAGATAGATAGATAGAAAGATGAACGAGATTTAATAGATAGATAGATAGATAGATAGATAGATAGATAGATAGATAATAGATAGATATAAACGAGATAGATAGATAGATAGATAGATAGATAGATAGATAGATAGATAGATAGATAGAAATATGAACGAGCTTTAATAGATAGATAGATAGATAGATAGATAGATAATGAACGAGCCGTAATAGATAGAT